TGTCGTGCCGAACATAAATTGTGAGCTGTGAAGTCACTGTAGTGTGACTTGCGGTTTGGTCGTACAGTGTGAGCAATAGCTGCGTGCAACGAGTGAAAAAAATCGCAGTGTACGGCTTTACAGAGGTTGAGCTACAACTTCATTATTAGACAAAAATATGTGGCTGGAAACATGTAGATGATTCATCAGATTTTACTGCGACCAAGTATATGTTCTCTCTTTCAGCCATTTTACATGAGGACCAACTCAGACCTCATGTGCTGAAACTGTATCTTTCCTAAACAGAGACACTAATGGAGCCAGTTTCCCATGACCTTTTCTAACATACAAAGTATTTTGGATCAGTGATTCTATGCTCCTTTTGCTGCTGACACAGAGCCTGGTTTTGCTGGAAGCCTCTTCCTGTTTTTTTTTCTCTCTCCACTGTTGCATGCTCGGTGAGGGATTGCTGCAGAATAAATAACACAATGCAAGTGAATATCTACCGTCCCCACATAGCTATAAATGTAAATGTAATTATTTAACGAAATTGAATAGCCTTTAAAAAAGCTGTTTACTATCAACAGTTTTAAAAGGAAAAAGGAAAGAAAAAGAACACAATGAGCAGTGATCAGTTCAATGTGAGTCTTAAGATTGTAGTGGTAAAAAGTATTCAACTATTCACCCTAGTTAAATAAACGGAGGTTGATGGATTTCACTCAGTCGGCACATTTATTCATATCTTTGCAAAGAGAGAACAGTTCATCATACAGCCCTAATGGCACAGCATTCTACCCTGGTCTACCTGAGCAGCATTCTTTCCCCCTTACTTACAACAATGGAAAAGTAGTCAAAGTCTAAACAAATTAGAGACACTTTGGTTAACAGTAACATGTTATGAATAAACCTTAAGAAAGAATCTGGGTTAGCTATGTCTGATCTACAAACACCCCTACAAACACGTCTATAGTGAGTAAATAGGATAAATTTCTATATAATAGAAGAGAAATCAAAATTTTCTGACAAAAAGATCTAAAACTCCTCACAACCATTTCATACTTGTACTCGTACTTGTCGTCTCCTGCTTTATCCGGCACCGGGTTGCGGAGGCAGCAGACTAAGCAGAGACTCCCAGACTTCTCTCTCCACTGACACCTCCTCCAGCTCTGTTGGGGGAAGCCCTAGGCGCTCCCAGGCCAGCCGAGAGACATAGTCTCTCCAGCGTGTCCTGGGTCGTCCCCTGGNTCTCCTATAAAGCCAGTTAACAGTGGAGCATGAGGAAGAGGATGATGAAGGTCTTTTACAGGGTAAAACAGCATCATCTCCAACTCTGTGGTAGATATGGACTCTGATACCTGCAGAAAAAGACACATTTAGAGAAGTAGTATCAGTCTATGAGCTATTGTGACAGGATTTACTAAAAGTATAGAATTTCTTTAAGACAAATTAGAAATATTGTAATTGAAGGATGTATTGTTATCAATTTACAACCATACAGATCTTTGTATTTATGTACAAAAACATAAATGTATTATTTTCCAGTTTAGCATATCATGTGCTCTTTTCAGACTTATAGATTTTCTACAGATATTAAAATGTTGATGTTAGTTACATATTTTTTTTCTGAGATTCTTAAAGATGTCATACAGAACAGTGCAGATGAGCTTTTAGGCCTTTTCCTCATAAAGACAAACACATTATATTTCCATAAAATGCTCGCATAAGTGTACACAGCACCAATGAAGATGCTGTAATACATATGCTGGGCCATTTGGTGGCGCTGATACAGAACACACCCAAACCACTATGAAAAACACTGGGCATGCACAGACTGGTTACAGAGGTTGAGCTACAGCTTCATTGTTAGAAAAAAAGATGTGGCTTGAAACATGTCGGCGTTTTCCGGCACCCGGTTTCGAAAAGGATTCGTGAGATTTTACTGTGACCATTTATTTGTTCTCTCTTTCAGCCTCAGACCTCATGTGCTGAACTTCATCTTTCCTAAACAAAAACACCAATGGAGCCAGTTTCCCATGACCTTTTCTAACATACAAAGTATTTTTTAATCAGTGATTCTATGATCCTTTTGCCCCTGACACAGAGCCTGGTTCTGCTGGAAGCTTCTTCCTGTTTTTCTCTCCACTGTTGCTGCATGCATGCTCGGTTTGAGGGATTGCTACAGAATCAATCACACAATGCAAGTGAATGTCTACCGTCCCCACATAGATATGAATGAAATTATCTAATAGGATTGAATGGCTTTTAAAGAAGCTGCTTTCTCTCATCAGGTTAAAAAGGAAAAAAAGAAAAAGAACAGAATGTCCATTGATTAGTTTAATGTTGGTCTGAGGATTAAAAACGCCTTGCAATCATTTTACATTAAAAACATTTCAATGAATTTAACCTTTTTTTATTATTAATAATAACCATCCATCCATCCTCTTCCATTTATGCGGGGTCGGGTCGTGGGGGTAGCAGCTTCAGTAGGGAGGCCCAGACTTCCCTCTCAACAGCCACTTGGGCCAGCTCCTCTGCGGGAACCCAAGGCGCTCCCAGGCCAGCTGAGAAACATAGTCCATCGAGCGTGTCCTGGGCCTCCCCCTGGGCCTCCTCCTGGTAGGTCGTGCCTGGAACACCTCACCAGGGAGACGCCCAGGAGGCATCCTAACCAAATGCACGAGTCACCTCAACTGGCTCCTCTCAATGTGGAGGAGCAGCGGCTCTACTCTGAGTCCTCCCCGGATTACTGAGCTCTATTATTAATAATTCTAAACCATATTTATTTTTAGTTATCACACAATGCCCCCCACACACATTCCCATCATTACTAAATGATAAATGGTCTGTACTTTCACAGCACCTTATCAAGTCCAGGGATCCCAAAGCTCTTAGCACTACATTCAGTAATTCACACGCTGGTT